GTACTTTGTATATCTTTATTAGATAATGGTCTTTTAAATTTTTGTTTTTATTAGTAAATATTTACAGTATATATGATGTATATATATACACACACATTCATCATGGGGAGTTGGTACATATGTACATAACAGATCTTATTCTTTTTATGTCCTCTTCTCCTCCCTTAATGGGATATATTCTTTTTTTTGGTACCCAGGATCAAACTCAGGACCTTGCACTTGCAAGGCAGGTGCGGGCACCACTGAGCTAAATCTGCAGCCCCATTAATAGGATATATTCTAAGGACAAAAAAATGTAAAGAACTCCTGAACTTTCCTTGGGTTTATTGTTGGTGTGGTATTGGTCCTGTAATTTTGAAACAGTAACTATTTTCTTGTTGGGAACCAATGTTTTTACTATAAGAGAAGCAAATAAACATAGACACAATCCTCAACAAGATATTGTCTAACAATACAACAAATCATCAAAAATATCATATATCATGACCAAATAGGCTTCATCCAGGGATACAAGAATGGTTCAATATATGCAAATCAATAAATATATCACATAAACAGAAGAGAGGACAAAAATTACATGATCATTTCAGTAGGCACAGGAAAAAGCCTTTGAGAAAATCCAACTTCCAGGGCCAGAGATGTAGCTCAGTGCCTGCCTGGCAAGCAATAGGTCCTGAGTTCAATCCCTGGTACCAAAAAAAAACCAACCCAACTTCCATTCATAATAAAAACCCTGAAGAAAACAGGTATAAAAGGAACTTAACTCGATCTGATAAAAGCCATTTATGAAAAACCTACTGCCAACATCACATTAAATGGGGGAGAACTGAAAGTCTTTCCTCTAATGTCAGGAACAAGACAAGGATGTCCACTATCACCACTTTTACTCATTATAATGTTAGAAACATTAGCCAAAGCAATCAGGCAAGAGAAAGTAAAGATAGCCTCATTAGTAAGTGGTGCTGGAAAAACTGGTTACACACTTGCAGAAGATGGAATTTAAACCCACATCTATGACCAGGCTCATTTTCTTTATCCATAAAGGAGTACTACTCTGCCACTCTTTTTTTTTTGTATCTATGCAAACACTTTATTTTGATTTCATTACTGACATTTATATATCATTTTAAGACAATATACAGCTAAGCTAACTGAAAGAAAACATACAAGAAATTTATTAGATCTAATACCAATGCAACAAAGGACAATGCATCATAAGAGACAAACAATTTGCAAAAATTTTAAAACATACAACTTATTCCACTGCCTGCCTCACAAGCACATGGTCCTGAGTTCAATCCCCAGTACCAAAAAAGAAATAAATAAAAAATAAGAATAAATAAAACATACAACTTAAAATTAAGACACTTTAAAAAGAAAAGCTGAAACAAAGGCCAGAATTTATGAAACAAAAACCAGAATCTATGAAACAAATGGCCAAAGACTATGAATCAAAAAATTACAATCTATGAACCAAAAAGACCAAAGTTAGAACCTATAAAAGCAAACTCTTAACTCTGACCGATAATCTCGGTGGAAGACCTCCAAAATGATATAGGGGAAAGAGATATAACTCCCAAACCTGCTAGATATCTGAAACGCGAGTTCCTGTTCTCTAAAATTGAAGAATGAATTCTAGGAACAATAGAGGTTAAGAGTAGGAAAAATTTATTGAGAGAAAGAAAGCTTCTGTTTAGGAGAGGCAGAAGGGGGACTGAAAAGTGGATTGGCCCTACTCTGCCACTCTTAAAGAAGGATAAATTTGAGTCATTTTAGGAAAATGGATTCACCTTGAGACCATAATGTTAAGTGAAATAAATCATACACAGAAGCTTGAATATCATATAAGTTCTCATATGAGAAACCCAAAGTATAAATCTACAGAAACAAAAGAAGACAATAGGAAACAGGGAGACAGATCTTTGAAAATGGGAAGGCGATCTAGCTACAGGGGGAGGAGGAGAAGAAAGGGAACAAAAAGAATTAAGATGTTAAGTACATATACCTATTCCCTTAGATAAATATAAATATTATGTACTACAAACATATACTAATAAAAAAATAAACATAATATGCCAGGTGTGGTGGTGAACACTTGTAATCCCAGTATTTGGGAGGCTGAGGCAGGAGGACTGCTGTGAGTTCAAGGTCAGCCTGGACTACATAGTGAGTTCAAGGCTAGCCTGAGATACATAGTGAGATACTGTCTCAAAAAAAATTGAACAAAAAAAGTAGTAAGATACAAATATGAAGTAAGGGAAGGTGAGAAAAAACTCTGTAGTGTTGGAACTATTACTAGTAAAAAAAACCTCATTTATTTAAGCTCTCTCCACTGAAAAGGCCTACAAGCAATGATACCCCAGATCTTGGTCTCTGTCTCCCTTGTTCTTTCTCTTTTTTTCCCCTGGTACTGGCAATTGAACTCAAGGCTGTTACTCTGAGCTACATCCTCAGTCCACCTCCCTTTTTGAGACAGGGTCTCCCTAAATTGCTAAGGAGGACAGACTGGGCTCAATCTTGTGATCCTCCTGTCTCAGCCTCCCAGGGTACACATTTGTGCATATCATGCCCACCCTCGATCTTAGTTTCTGAACACTACTGCCCACTAAGAAAGAGCCCAGGCTCCTTGGAAAAATGGCTATCAAGTCCAAGACAGGAATACACAGAGAAAATCTGGCACATCATATACTAAAAAGCAAGGAAGTGCTCAAAGAGTAATGGTCATGTCAAAAGCATACAGGAGGGCCGGGGATTTAGCTCAGTGGTTCCGCTGCCTGCCTCGCAGGTGCAAGATCCTGAGTTCGATCCCCAGTACCAAAAAAAAAGAAAAAGAGAGAGAACAGCATACAGGAAATCTGGGTGTGGTGGGGCACATGTGTAACCCCAGCACTTGGGAGGCAGGAGGATCACTTTGAGGCCAGCCTGGGTTACATACTGAGTTTAAAGCTGGCCTGAATTACGTAGCATGACCCTGTCTTTAAAAAAACAAAAGACAAAACAAAACACATACACCCTGGAACCAACATGAAGTGGTTCCTGCTGGGCAAATTTAGGACATCTGGAGCATCAAAACAAATAATGATGGTGCTATGTTGTAAAATAATAAAGAAAAATGCAAGAAAGGAGGTAACAGAAAAGTTCTTTACTGAGCAATTCCAATTAATACACATAAATTTAGAAAGACTTAGGAATTAGAAAAATCACCCTTTTACACTCTACCATTAAACTGGTCAGTCAAGGATCATCAATGGATATCAAAACCACTGGATGTAAGTGTGATGGGGGACAGAATATTTACATAAGCTCAAAAGTATCACCTACAGTTCATTTGTTAATTATAAAAGCTGGAAATGTACCTTTGCAATGGGGAGATCTGGCAGTCACCACCTTATGACCAAAATTTAGCATCCCCAATATTGGGATGACTTGATAATGTGTCTTCTTATGGCCGATAAAATACCCCTAACCCATCTGAAGAAAAAAACCCAGACATATTTAGAACATGGAATATTTTCCAGAAAATCTGCCTGGATTCATTAAAAACAAAATAAAACAAAATAAAAGGCTGGTGAATTCTAGACTAATGGGAGATGATTAGGTGCCGTGCATTAATTTTGAATGTATACTGGATTGGATAAGATGTAAAATGCACTCAATTACGGCAACTAGAAAAATTAAATATTAACTATATGTTAACAATATTGATTTAAGTTTTTAAGATGTGATAAAGGTACTGTGTTTATATAGTAAGATGTCCATTTTAGGAGTTAAAAGAACCACGTTGCCGGGTGTGGTGGCACATGGCTGGAGGAGGATACCGGCGAGTTCGAGGTCAGCCTGGACTAGTGACTTCAAGGCCAGCCTGAGTTACATAATGAGACCCTGTCAAAACAACAAACCAACCATGATGTTTGTTTTGTTTTGTACCGAGAATGGAACTCAAGACCTTGCGCTTGCGAGGCAGGCGCGGTGCCACTGAGCTAAATACCCGGCCCCAACCATGATGTTTGTAGCCCAAGATTTTTTAATTTAGCGGTGTGGTTATCCTACTACACAGGTCCTCACACATGCTAAGCAAGTGCTCTATCACTCACTGCGCTACACCCTAACCCTGTAACGCACTTTCATATGGTTTAGGGGAAAAAAATGTTAACAATCATGAATCTAAGGTGGAGAACAGTTATTGATTTTCCTAATCTTTCACATCTCCTGAAGTAAAATGCTGGTGGCACAGGTCTCTAAGCACTCTGGGAGGCTAAAACAGCTCCCATAACAAATTCCAGCTCAGCTAGAGCGACTCGGCCAGAAGCCGTCTGAAATAAAAAATGGTGAGCCCGGAGTGGCGGCGCACGCTTGTGATCGCAGCACTCGGGAGGCTGAGGCAGGAGGATAACCACGAGTTCGAGGTCAGCCTGGGCTACATAGTGAGCTTAAGGCAGCGAGACCCTGTCTCAAAAGACCAAAAACAAAAAAAATGTAGCTCAGTGTTCAATCCCCCGTGGCGGGGGCGGGGGCGAAACGTTGGGAGGAAAAATCTATTACTACCGGGAAATGTCACTTCACAACAAGCAATTTGCAACGACGGTAACTTTGGCACAGTTAGGAGCCGCCTTCACAATTTAAACTTAAGTTTCCCTTGGGAAGGAGCGTTGAAGCCACAGACAGCACAGACGAGAAAAGTAATTGACTCTAACTCACTTCCATAGACCACTGTAGCTTGGTGACTGGCCGGGGGGGGGGGGGGGGGCGGTGGTCAGGTCATAACCACGTGACCCAGCCCTTCCTTCTGATTGGAGGAATATCCTACGCTTCAGGCAGTTCAAAAGGCAGGACTGAACGTTTTCTTTGACCAATCACTTTTCACCTGTCTAGCCTCCCGATCTTGTATGGTCCAATCAAAAATAGTTAGTAAAGTAGTCTACAAATACTGCTTTCTCGTAGGACAGCCGGTCTTTCCGTTTACTCCCACTTAAATTTACTTAACTTCCGGTGTAGGCCGGTACGGTTATGTGTCTCTGCGTGTCACTTCTGTGCGACTGGTATTTTTATTTCCGGCGGGGTAGGCGGCAGTTTGGGATTTGCTGTCGACTTAAACCGCCACTAGTAGCCTTCGCGCCATTATGTCCGAGACAGACAGCGATGAAGATTCTGCTGGAGGAGGCCCATTTTCTTTAACCGGCTTCCTGTTCGGCAACATCAATGGAGCTGGGCAGCTGGAGGGGGAAAGCGTCTTGGACGATGTGAGGGGAGGGCTTGGGGACAGGGCTGGGGGTGGTGTGGCTAAGAAGAGTAGATAGAACGGCAGTACAGGTACTTAGGAAAGGCTAGAAAGGATGTGGCTTTCTGTGAGAGGGCGCAAGGAACACAACAGAACAGGATACCACCCTTAGAGATTTGGGGAGTAGTAGAGTGAGAGGGCCTACTTCTGCCCAAGGAAAGAGAGAAAGGAAAACGGTGGGCAGGGCCAGGAAGTATGGGACACAGAGGTGGGTAGCAGCGAAGCTGACATTTTTCTTAGCTAGACAGAAAATAATGGCTGAGCCTAGTGCAGTTGTTTTCAACCCACTGCATTGAGAACCTTCGTGTAGATTCCCGATACTGCATTACTGACTCCCGCTGGGCCGAGCTGGCTACAGAGCCAGAGGGCTGGATAGAAACCTCAGCAGTCATTGTGTCGCGGCCCCATTCGGTTGAGCAGGGACAGCAGCACTGCTTGGGCCATCTCTTGGTGCCACGCACGGCCTAGGTGGAACGTCCAGTGTGTGCACACACGTTCACACGGTTTCCTGTGCCCAACTGACACCTTTCGTATCAGTTCATTTTTCAAGGAATAAAACTGCTGACCAATATTTTCCCCTCCCCTGCAACAAATGCACACAAAAGAGCAAAAAAGACCAGGACTTGCTTTCTCATCCGGATGAGCTCATTTGCCTTTATTCAAGAGAACTGCTGCTCCATTCAGTCTTGGTGGTGATTCTTTGAGTAATCTTTTCTTAATGTTCATGAAATTGGGTATGGTCTAATCAACGAATTTGGTGAGAGATTTGTACAGTTCTCGAATGTGAACATTCCTTTTAGCAGACCGCAGTCATTTTTCAGATGGGAAATAAGCTTTGTGTGGGACACTCTGGTTTAGTTGTTACTCTAGTGCTGTCCCTTTTTCAGGAGTGCAAGAAGCACCTGGCAGGCCTGGGTGCTTTGGGTCTGGGCAGCCTGATCACTGAACTCACAGCAAATGAAGAACTGACGGGGACTGATGGTGCCTTGGTAAATGATAAAGGTGAGGCCTGGGTCATGGGGAGTAAGGTGGGAGAGGAGGCTAGTTGCTACTGTATATGGACTTTTAAATGGGAACTTTATTTATTTATTTTTGTTTTTTTCAGACAGGGTCTTGCTATGTAGTTCAGGCTAGCCTTGAACTCACTATGTAGTCCAGGCTGACCTCAAACTCACAGCAGTCCTCCTGCCTCAGCCTCCAGGCATACGCCACCACACCTGGCTTAAATGGGGATTATTTGAGGGAGTGGGAATTACTTGCTCTTTCTTGTGATTCCCCCACCTTTTATTTATAGGATGGATCAGGAGTACAGAAGATGCTGTGGACTATTCAGACATCAACGAGGTAGCAGAAGATGAAAGCCGAAGGTATCAGCAGACAATGGGAAGCATGCAGCCTCTTTGCCACACAGGTGATTCTTTGGTGTCAGTGGTAGAGCTTTCCAGTGCATTTTCTTGCTGTATAGTTTTGTTTGGGCTCTGGTTTCTTTGTCTGTTTTCTGCCATTCTTGCTTTCTATGCCCTTGCTCTGCTTCTCCCTTTGTCAGTTTAGGTCTAAATGACTGCTGTCCTATTTGTTTTGGGGCAGTCTTAACATACTCAGGCTTTAATTCCACTTACTTATTTTTAATTTCTTTTTTTTCTTTTTCTTTTTTTTGGGGGGATCAAACTCAGGACCTTGTGCTTTGCGAGGCAGGTGGTGGAACCACTGAGCTAAATCCCTGGCCCTCACTTACTTACTTTTAAATTTTATGTTTTTCTTTTTTTTTGACAGAGTCTCTAGTTTAGGCTGGCCTTGAACTCACTATGTAGCCCAGGCTGGCCTTGAACTCACAGAGATCCTTCTGCCTCAGCCTCAAGAGTGCTGGGATTACAGGTGTGTGCCACCACACCTGGCCTGATTGCCAAAACTTTGAGGCCAGCCTGTACTAAATAATGAGTTCAAAGCCAGCCAGAACTACATAGTGAGACTATCTCAAAAAAAAAAAAAAAAAAAGAAAGAAAAGAAATTTATATGAAGTTACTCACTGTTTATTCATTGTCCACCTCTTCAGATTAAATTATATGCTGCTGAGAAATGTAAATAGAACTTTCATAAATACTTGAAATTATTTTCTTCAGGGCCAGGGACTAGATTTGAGTGCTTCTTATATAAAGGTAATTAACTGTATCACATGCACAAGAAATAACCCATGAGGAATATATAGCCCTTACTTTCAGGGATATTGTCATCATGTGAGGAAGATGGAATAAATAAGCAATTACTCATAGTAAGAAGGCATAAACCAACTGTAAGCTCATGTTCCTGTATAGACTGTTACAGTTAGGTAGTGTTTTTGTTTTTTTCTTGTTTTTTGTTTTGTTTTGAGTACTGGGGATTGAACCCAGGGCCTTTACAGTGAGCTATATCCCCAGCCCTTTTTATTTTTATTTTTATTTTTATTTTATTTTTAGGGTTTTGTTTGGTTTTTTTGGTACCGGGGATTGAACTCAGGACTTTGCACTTTCGAGGCAAGAGGTGGCACCACTGAGCTAAATCCTCAGCCCTGTTAGGTTTTTTTGTTGTTGTTGTTAAATTCTTTTATTGGTACATTGTAGGTATACAACACAATTACATTTCTCATTGGGAATTGTACCTTTACATAATGCATCTTGGTTC